TCACCGCCTCCTGGGTCGTCTGCTATGGACGGCACTGCCATGGTAGACAGTTGGCTGGACTTAAGCAGAGGGAACGACCTGACTTCCTGACACTGTGATCTCCGTTGCTCCGCCCACTGTGACCTTCAACCCCATGCACTGTGACTCCCCCTTTAATCCCTTCCCACTGTGATGGGCATGTTGACTAGGGCTGTCTCAAGTCCATAGAAAGGGTGAGAGTGAGTGCCAGGGGGGCTTTGGTGGAACCCACCAAGGACTCATCTAGAGTCAGTGCCACTCAGGGTAAAGCCAGTGCCAGAAATAACAGTTTATCATGCTCATTAATTTGGGGTTTTAAAACATGTAAGAACCTTTCCCCCCTCCCCAGTGCATGTCTTTATCACTTGAAAAGCAAGTTCCATTTAAAATATCCTTTCTTGTTTGTTTTTTTTTTAAAAAAGAAAGCTAAAGTTGTGTTGCATTGGGAAAACTCTCTGTCCTCTGTCAAGGACCTCTCCAAAGTTCTAAAAAACAAAGATACCATTTTAAAGTCTAAGGTGATCCTTACACAAGCCTTGATATTTTAAATTGCTTTCTATGCATCTGAAAACGGGACAATGGATAAGGAAGACTGGAGAAGAATTAATGTCTTTGCATTGTGGAGTTGATGAAGAATACTGAACATACCATGAGCTTCTCAAAGAACAAACAAATCTGTCCTGAAGGGAGCGCAACATGAGTGCTCCTGAGAGGCAAGGATGGTAAAACTTTGTCTTGGGCTTATTTTTAGGATGAACCAGTCCTTGGAGACAGAAATCCATGCGGGGCATAGGAGAGGGTCAGCAAAAGAGAGAAAGACTTCCCAAGACTGACAGGGTGACCACCACAACGAGACTGAGCATGAGAGAGATTGTAGGGATGGTGTGCGATAAGGCAAGGTGTACAGCTGTTGTTCATAGAGTCACTAAGCATCGTAGTTGCCTTGACAGCACCTAACAACACAGACACCTTACACGACTACGGCCTAACACCATCTCTTCAGTAGGAAAAAAATATACACAGACTCTTCAAAACGATTCCATATATCAAGACATTCGTGTGCTTTCTTTGCTTTTAATATGCAGAAATAATAAAAATACAAAATTAGAAAGCTCCCAAAATGTATGTCTCAAACACTCATTGCTGTCAACTCATAGCTGACTCCCCAGCAGGTTTTCTAAAGCTTTGTAAATCTCACAGGAGATTGCCTATCTTTCTCCCAAGGACTACGTCACCAGAGACACACCAGGGTGTACAAAAAAATGCACTGCTCATCTAAAGGCAGGTGTTTCAAATCTACCAGCTGCTTCTCTGAGCAATCTTCCCCCACCTCAGTGTAATCTGCAGCCTCTGAACATGGCAGGATGAGCAGTTTTGAGTTGGTTCCAACTAGATGGCCCACAGCAAGAACAACCACAAAATTAAGAAAAATGGAGAGCAGGGGCAGGAAGTGAAGCTGCCGGTTTACAGAGAGGTGAAAGAAAAAGGTCAGAAACAGTTTCCAGCAGGTCACAGCCAGTCCATCTTAAAATTCTGTTTCTTTTACCTGTTTTTCTCCCATCTTTTTGTTTTTATGTTATGGTTGATCATATCTCAAATCTCTCTGAACAGACTAACTAAAGAATGTGTGTATTTATTTTAAAATTATCTTATTAAAAATATCTTCTATTTCTTCAATTATTGCTATCTATTTAACCCCTTGGGTGATTTTCTGTATCTTGGCGTTTTCTCCTCTATGTTATTTGTTTTCCTCATGTGCCCGGTTGTCTTTAGTTGTTTGTTCAGCTTTAAGAATGCAGAACTGTGAGACTTAAGCTAGTTTCCTCTGATGCTAAATTTAAGTAGATTTAAGTAGGTTGATTTTCCTGTGATTCTTTCTGGAGTAGGAATTCTGATGGGGAGCGTTTTGCACTTGAGTGTTAGATGTTCGGTTTTGACTTAGATTGAGTGGGTAGGAAGCCAGGGAGAGAAGCTCCCGTGCTGAAGAGGAGGCATTAAGAATGTTGACCTTTACAATAGATATCTTCAAGTTCTCCACAAGGCTGTGTTCACATTTTAAGGGAACACAGCATCACAGCTTTGTGGGTTTTTTGTTCTTTGCCAGAGGGAAAATTCTAATTGCCTGCCTTTGCCTGCTTTCTGTAGAGGGGTGAAGAGAGAGGGAGAGGCATCTACTCATGTTCCACGTCTTTTTTTGGCTGAATTATTTCTTGGAAGACCCAGAGAGAGCCTCTAGAACGTTTCAAAGAAGTGTCTGATTCTCTACTCCTGTCTTATTTAAAAAGCAGATCAAAAACTAATGTCTTATGGCTGTACCCATTTCTTTTTGAAATGATGAAACATAACAGACTAAGATAAAATGTTATATTATTTTTTGGATGAATTATATTATATTAAATAAATTATATTATATTAAATAAATTATATTATATTATATTATATTATATTATATTATATTATATTATATTATATTATATTATATTATATTATATTATATTATATTATATTATATTATACTATTGTATGGATGAATAATTTATTTATTTATTCCATTTAATGGACATTTTGAGAACTTTTGCCAAACTTTTCATTGTAACATCCCAAATCCTTTAAATGAAATCTAACAATATAGTCCAGTTAACTAACCTATCTGGGATCTAATTACTCACCCAGCTAGTACAGTTACCTTACAAATAAATGTTCCTGGTCAGATAGAAGAGTCACATTGAAAGTTCAAGCTCATTGTTATACTGAAAAACAACTCCACACACAATACCCTCTGGTGGATGGTTAGCTTCACTGTTTTTATTTATGAAACTACATGTTTATTAGTAAATTGTTCCTCTTTTGTGCTTGCACAGTGCATAATAGCAATTTAAAAAAACCGGTGTAAGAAAATGCCTGCACATGATGAAGAAAGTGACTCGGTTGAATTGTGAATGAGACAGAAAGCACATTCCAATCAAAATTTCATGTTTGCAATGAAACTGGACTAAAAACACAAGTTGATTAACACTCTCATTTCTGTGTTAAGCATGAGACAGACCTGCCATCAAATGCATACAACAAAGCTTCGTAAAAACAATCCTCTCCTTCCTGTGGCATTTATTTTCACACCTAGTATTGCTTATTCTGCTGGACATGACCTTTGCCACAACTGAAGGCCATACTATAATGTACCTGTGGCAAGGGAAAGAGGCAGAAGGAGGGTCGTCATGATACTCGCCCCTTTGAAAGGCCTTTATCATTCTCTTCCCCATTTAGGCATAATTCAGGCAGTATGCCAGAAATCTTGGGTTAAGATATCTCACTATTGATTGTACTAAGCCAGAATCATGGCATATTTCCATGGGAGTCGGTCTGACAGAAAATTACTGGTAAGGAAATAAAAATATTTTTTTAAAATATCTTATTTCAGAAGGCTTAGCAGAGTACAGTATTGGGAAAGAATTTGGACATAAAATCTCCACAACTTGCCAGCTGGCAAATGACTTAAACTCATTAAAGCTTCAATTCCCTCATCTTGAAAACAAGGATAATTTCTTCCTTACAAAATTATTACATTGAAAATATTATATATTAAACCTCATAATAGTGTGTGTGTGTGTGTGTGTGTGTGTGTGTGTGGTGTTGTTGTTTTTATGCACCATTCAGTCAGAACTGACTCTCCAGTAGGTTTTCAGAGGCAATACATTGCATGGAAGTTAATTGTTCATTTTTTCCTACAGAGCTACTGGTTGCTTTGAACTGTGTACCTTTAGGTTGGTAGCACAACACCTTACCATTAAGCTACTTTGTTGTTGTGGGCCGTTGATTTGGGATCATCTCATAGCTGACCCTTAATTGGCTTTTCAGAGGCAGTAAAATGCAAAGTAGAAGATTGTCCATCCTGCTTCAGTGAAGCAGGTGGTGGATTTGAACCACAAGCCTTTGGGACTGCAGCACAGCTTCTTATCACTAAGCCACAAGAAAATATATATAAAATACACCTTGAGGCATAAACAAAATAGAAGCCCCCAAACTAGAAATGTAATTGGGTAAAATTGAAAAACAAAATACTGACATAGCCTAAATTTGGTTAATTAAAAAAAAGGTTAAGTTTAATTGCACTTCAAGAAATGTTTTTTAAAGATTTGTTGCCATATTTTTTAATTAAATGTGGGAGCTGGTACTATAAAATTCTCAGATTTGTAGATACTCTATGAGTAATTGTCTTCCTCTGGTTTTCTCCTCCTTCTTTATTGAAGCTCCTAACCCAACACATCAACTCAGCCATTTTACTAAGTTGGGCATGCTGAGTTATTTTTAGTAAATTTAAACTGATATCGTTAGGAACTAACTTGATTTATAATTAATTTCTTCATTTGGGTATATGCATTTCTAGGCCTATTTTTAATCTGTGTCCTTTCAGTTTTCTAATTTCCTATTCTGTTTAGGAATGATAGAAAGAGAATTGATGCCTTTGAGCTGTGGAGCTGGAGAAGAGTGTTGAATATACCATGGACTGCTACCAGAACAAACAGATTTGTCCTAGAAAGGGTGAGACCAG